GAATAAGATTGCTAAAGTACATGTAAGAGATCTGTAAACTTTGGGTTATCATCTTTCATTTACTTCTCTACAGGATAAAATTCATTGGTCATCATTGGTTTTCTAGGATTAACATCTATGCATTCAGAGTGAACTAGCCTAATCAGTAATAAGTACAGAACTTCGTTGGTGGTCCAGTGGTTGAGAATCTGCCTGCCAATGCAGGGGACACAGGTTTGATCCCTGGTCCAGGAAGGTTCCACATGCCATGGGGTAACAAAACCTGTGTGTAGCAACTACTGAGCTTGTGCTCTAGGGCTCATGAACCACAACCATGAGCCCACTTGCAGGAACTACTGAAGCCCAGGCACATAGAGCCTGTGTTCTGCAACCAGAGAAGCCACCACACACCCTCAACTAGAGAGTAGCCCCTGCTCGCTGCAAATAGGGAAGCCCACATGCAGCAACGAAGACCCAGTGCAGCCAAAAATATAAAATAAATCAAAAAATTAAATTAAAAAAATAGTAAATACAGTAAACAGTGCTAAAGTGTTGCTGTCCAAAAGAAATACAATGTGAGCCCCCAAAGCAAGCCACACATGCAATTACTCATTCTATTTATTTCAACTCAATGCGTTCACTCTTGCATCATTTAAATGTGCTGTGATTGGATTATGGGCAAATGAGAAATGCAAAGCACAGAACAGTTAGGTCATTTGCTCAAAGGTCACACAGCTAGAAAGTGGCAGAACCAAGAAGTGAATCTTGGCCATCTCTCACAGTTTTGTGACAAAGACTCCTTCCTCATCTAAATGTGAGAGGCCTTCCCTTCTACCAGAGGTTTCTTTGGGGTCGTGAGGTCAGTCTCAAGGAGATGGGATATGGTGATTTTTCAAAAGCCCTAAAGATAATTTTTTGTTTTGTTGAGTCAAGCCTAAACTTTCTGATGTCACAATGTCTAAATGTCATGTACTCACACGGAGAGTTTGGGAAGCTTGTTTTGTGCTCCAGGCTCAGATTCAGACCTGGGTGGCCCAGGGGACTGGAAGGTGAGGTCAGAGAGAGACACTCATCTTCTTTCATTAGCTGGGGAGGGGAGGGGCTGGGGGAGTTTAGACTTTGAGAGCTGAGGGAGTTTAGACTGTGTGTAGAGCCCTTCATCTGAGAGAAACCATTTTCCATTTTCATTATTTTTTAGTTTCAGAAAACATGCCCCAAACAGCTTTATAATAATCTCAGTATTCGTTTTATAAAACACAACATTTCCACTGATGCTACCAGCAGAATCACCGCTGTCAGCTACTAGGCTTGTAAAAGGAACGAATGTATTTTCTGTGCCCATAATCACCCCTCTATGGGAATGAGGTCTATTTCAATGACTATCTAATAAAGGAATAACTCAGCATTAAAAAAAAAAAATTCAGAATCCCTAGGCACCCTAGAGGCAAAAAGGCAAAGGAAATTTGATCTGATGACAATTGGAATCTTTTTTTAAAGGAAAGCTTTATTATTTTTTTCCAAAAAACTTCATTTTAAAAACAGTAGGTTGGTTTATCAACAAATCTCTATTTAAGGAATTGAATAAGGAACTGATTATACAGCTGGCAAAACCTCACCATTCTAACACATTCTGAGATGGTCTAATTTAGTGAAAGGTCTGAATCAGTTTGAAGCATGTGGTTTTGTAGCTCTGACGGTTTTAATTACCTTCAACTCAGACTAAGCCCAGAAACTCATTCTTTCAAATTGTGGTCTCCAGAGCCTGGGGGAATTTGCAGCAACAAGCTGATAAAGATGGTTCATAATTAGCATCTCAATTGTGCAATATTAATCACCTCCTTCCTGTTGTTGTTGTTCAGCCACCCAGTCATGTCCTGCTCTTTGCGACCCCATGTACTGCAGCATGCCAGGCTTCCCTGTCCTTCACTATCTCCCAGAGTTTGCTCAAACTACTGTCCATTGAGTTGGTGATGCCATCCAACCATCTCATCCTCTGTCGTCCCCTTCTCCTCCTGCCCTCAGTCTTTCTCAGCATCAGGATCTTTTCTAATGAGTTGGCTCTTCCCATCAGGTGGTTAAAGTTTTGGAGCTTCAGCTTCAGCAACAGTTCTTCCAATGAATATTCAGGATTGATTTTCTTTAGGATGGACTGGTTGGATCTCCTTGCTGTCCAAGGGACTCTCAAGAGTCTTCTCCAACACCACAGTTCAAAAGCATCAATTCTTTGACGTTCAGCCTTCTTTATGGTCCAACTCTCACATCCATACATGACTACTAGAGAAACCATAGCTTTGCCTATAGGACCTTTGTTGGCAAAGTAATGTCTCTGCTTTTTAATATGCTGCCTAGGTTTGTCATAGCTTTTCTTTCAAGGAGCAAGCATCTTTTAATTTCATGGCTGCTGCTGCTACTGCTGCTGCTAAGTCGCTTCAGTCGTGTCCGACTCTGTGCGAACCCATATATGGTAGCCCACCAGGCTCCCCCGTCCCTGGGATTCTCCAGGCAAGAACACTGGAGTGGGTTGCCATTTCCTTCTCCAGTGCATGAAAGTGACAAGTGAAAGTGAAGTCGCTCAGTCGTGTCTGACTCTTAGAGACCCCATGGACTGCAGCCTACCAGGCTCCTCCGTCCATGGGAGTTTCCAGGCAAGAGTACTGGAGTGGGTTGCCATTTCCTTCTCCGTTCATGGCTGCAGTCACCATGAAATTTTGCAGTGATTTTGGAGCCCAAGAAAATAATTCTGTCACTGTTTCCATTGTTTCCCCATCTATTTGTTGTGAAGTGATGGGACCGGATGCCATGATCTTATTTTTTTGAACGTTGAGTTTTAAGCCAGCTTTTTCACTCTCCTCTTCCACCTTCATCCAGAGGCTCTTTAGCTCCTCCTTTCTTTCTGCCATATCTGCATATCTGAGGTTATTGATATTTCTCCCAGCAATCTTGATTCCAGCTTTGCACTATTTTTTGTACAGGAAGCAGTATCCCATCCAGGGTCTGGTCCTGGTAGGTGATTGCACATGTGAAGAGAGTCTTAGCTCCCTCCCCTGCAACTCCAGGGCCACTTTTTCAGTCACTAAGTCATTTGCAACTCTTTGTGACCCATGGACTGCAGTACACCAGGTTCTTTTGCCCTCTTCTATCTCTTGGAGTTTGCTCAAATTCATGTCCATTGAGTCCTTGATACTATAGGACCATCTCATCCTCTACTGTACCCTTCTCCTTTTGCCTTCAATCTTTCCCAGCATCAGGATCTTTTCCAATGAGTCGGCTCCTTGTGTCAGGTGGCCAAAGTATTAGAGCTTCAGCTTCAGCATCAGTCCTTCCAATGAATATTCAGGGTTGATTTCATTTAGGATGGATTGGTTTGACCTCCTACAGAATGTATAGCTCTCTAAATAAATCCACTTCTTATCTATCACTTTGTCTCTCACTAAGTTCTTTTCTACAACTAGACATAGAGAACCTGTGCTTCATTAAGTCCTCAGACCAGGTGTGTGATTTCAGCTAAAAGACAGTGGGTTGAGGTCCTAACCTGGGTTTAGGCTGGATTCTAGCCCAGACACATGGATTCAAGTTCCATCTGAGGTGCCTCGATTAATCTTATCAAGAACCTTATTATTTATTATTCTTACCTCTCAGTTTATATTTAAGGAAACTGAGGTCCAGAGAAGTGATGTTAAAGTGCCTAAAACAGGTTCCCGTATTTTCCAATAATCCTTGGTATCTCAGAATTTTTTTTTATGATATCCAAAGGCCAAAAGAAATACCTAGTAGTTCTGTTTATTAAGTTGTTAGGTCCAAACAACTACTTATATAAATATTTATGTCCTAACAGCTTAGTAGTTTTTGGAAAAAATAATTCACACAAGTTGAAAGAAAAAAATTATTCCATCTTAAATAAGCAGAATTACATAGTAATGGGATGTGTGTGCCTGTTGGGTGCTGCACATCTAAAAACTTAGAATCAGGTGGGATGTTGCCATCTTCTTTTCTTGTTCTACTTTGGTTTTCACATGGTATTTACTTTTTATTACTATAACCACTGAAAACCCAGCTTTGCAAGGATTTGATGTCATCAGAATAAATGTAGCCCAAATTAATGTCAAAACTATGACTACTGTGGGCTGTAGTTTGTGGATGTCTGGTAGATATGATTGTGTTCCTCTCGAACATTTCAGATAACCAGTGGGGGACTTCCCTGGGGATCCAGGGGTTAAGACTGCTTAACCTGCTTCCAGTCCAGAGGATGTGGGTTCAATCCCTGACTGGGGAAACACCTTCCAATTTGCACTGCAGCCAAAAATACCCAAAAAACAAAAAACACCTTTTAGGGAATTCTCTGCTGGTCCAGTGGTTAGAACTCTGCACTCTCATAGCCAAAGGTTTTCAATCCCCGGTCAGGGAACTAAGATCCCGTAAGTCATGTGTTGTGGCCAAAAAGTGGCAGCGGTACCCATGTGTGTTTGCCGACGTGCCCGGGGGTATTTTGGAACATGGTTTGGGAACTGTGGGTCTGCAAAGGTGGGGTTAGTGAAAACAGGGCCTTGAACCTAAGCAATCTTGTTCCTGAGCCCGTATGTTCTGTGCTAGGCTGTTTTGTTTGGTGTGTCCCATCCCATAGCCTGTACTCATAAAGGAAGCAGACATTCATTCAGCAGATGCTTTATGAGCTGCTACTCTATCCCAGACCTTGGGCTGGGGTTGGGGAGGGGACAAAGATTCATTGGCTCTAGGGCTTGTTTTTTCAATCATTTTGTCATGTCGGAAAAGAATTGCAATTCAGTTACAATGGAAGGACATACAAAATACCACCTTATGGAGAGAGGGGATCCTGGAGGTGATGTGGGGGTGGGACTGATGTAACTGCCATGACAGCTTATTTAGGCAAGACTGAAGAGATTTGGATTTGGGAATGAAGCAAGTGCTGGCCTTTTCATAACGTGCAGATCACTCCAGAATTATGTTCAGGCTGGAGAAGAGACAAATCAAGGGTTTCAGTAGGCATCTTGTCACCTCTGCAGGCTGCTGTGGACTGAAGCAGGAGGCCTGAACCAATAATAAGCCTGTGATGAAAAACTTTGAGCAGAGAAGATGCTGAGCACCCTGTCACTGGAGCTGGGTAAGAAAGGGTGTGTGGTAGAGTCCTGCTTCAAAGGGGGCCGGGCCAGCTGGCCTTCGAGGTCCTCTCCAACTCTGAAAAAGGCTGATTTTGTGAAGCTGTCTTCTCACTGTCCACACTTGTCCCCTTTTGTCACTGACTCTAAGAAGCCAACACACCTGTCACTGGCCTTGAAACAGCATTGCTGTTGTCTCACACATGAAAACTGACATGGGAAATTGACTTCCCTTGGTTCATTTGAAGTGCATTTGCCTTGGAATCCCAGCAGTACCTCCTGCCTGAGGTTGGGTTGAGGGGAGGAAAGTGGAAGGACTGCTTCCAGACATCTCTTAGAGGCTGGTGGCACTGACTGCTTGCTGGAGATGGAGGGTGGGCACCTGATTCCCCTCAATCCTGCCAAAGTGACCTTGAAAAACACACAACTCACCTTGGCTCCCTCCTGCTCAGGTTTCTGCAGGGGCTTCCCACTGTTGACTGGATAAAGTCCAAACTTCCATATTCAGCATTGAGGTCCCCTATGGCAAGGCCTCTGCCTAATTCACCAGCCTCATCTTTCCCAGAAGCCCTGGGATCTACTCATACTGGGTGACTCATAATTCTCTGGAAACAGAGTTCCCTGTTCCTTTGCTTATGTTGTTCCCTCTGCCTGATTTACTCTTCCTGGTTTGTCTACTTGGTAAATTCTACTCATTCTTGTAGGTCTGGCTCAGTCCTCTCCTTTGCTATGGATAATTTAAAGTAATTTAATTTCCAATTTTATGGTTTGGCATCGTGGGCTGGGCTCAGCTGGATGGTTCTTCTGGACCAGCCTGGGATCACTAGTTGGTCTGCAGTGTGCCAGCTGGTTGACTGGGACTGGCTGGCTTATGATGGCCTCACTGGGACTTCTGAGATGATGAGCAGGAGGGTCTCTCTCTGCATAACCCCATGTGGTCCTCATCCCCTAGGAGGGTAGCCCAAATACCTTTACATCGAGAATTCCAAGAACTGCAAAAGAGGACAAGCCCCACTTCCCAAGAACTTGTCAAATCTTCATTTGCATCATGTTTGCTAGCATCCCATTGGCCAAAACAAGTCACCTGACTGAGCCCAGCATCAGAGTAACATAGCAATAAGGATAAGGTGCACATATGGGGTATGGAGGGGGGCGGTGGTTGGTACCATTTTTGCAATCTTCCACAGCTAGACAGCTTGCAGGCCAAGAGGATCTGTTTGAGCCACTGGGCTGTGAGCTCCCAGAGGCCTCAGTTTGAGGTGCCTTAAATCCCCCAGAGCCGGGCGTAGAGCAGGTACTTGGTTATTACTGACTTCTCCTTCAATATCCACATGGCCAGCTTGAGCCTTTGACTCAAAGGAATGGTCAGAGAACCCAAGGTGAAGCTAGTTTCAGGAAGAGGGAAGGAAAGACAGACAATCTTTTACACAATTTTGCTCAGCAGCTCAGTGTTGTAATTTGTCCCAGAGAATGATTTGATCTGATTCAGCCACAGTCTGGTCTTCACCTTTAAATGTTGGGAACTGCATAAATCAGCACATTTCCCCCAAAGCAGAGTCTATATACAGCACTAACAGGCTGCTCGCCATAATTAGGCCTCCAGCAATGATTGTTTTTGCTCCCTGTGTTTTATCACCAGCCTCCTCAGGGAAGGAAAGGAGTATGATCAGTGTTATGATGTTTATGTGCACCTTCTGTGCTTGAGAGGTCTGGGGTAGGTGTACAAATAGAGGCTCTGGTCTGCAGTCCATCCTCTCCTCTTCTAGCCTAGGCTTTTTTATCCTGCACCATCCTCATGGTGTCTCCCTACATGCATGTGGTCACTCCACTCCACTGCATTTCCCATTCCTTTCCACCTCCTTCATCCCCATTCAGTTAATCTTCTCTTGGCCCTTTGAGGCTAGGAATGCATACACTGGGGATGGTCCACTCTTGGAAGGAAAGACCCAGAGAAGAATTGATGCAGGTGCTGAAAGCAGGCTCGTGACATTTAGGCATGGAATTCTGGGGATTTGGGAAACTGCAGTGTGGTCTTACCTGGAAAATCTCATGGACAGAGGAGCCTGGTAGGCTGCAGTCCATGGGGTTGCTAAGAGTCGGACACGACTGTGCTTTCACTTCACTTTCACGCATTGGAGAAGGAAATGGTAACCCACTCCAGTGTTCTTGCCTAGAGAATCCCAGGGATGGGGGAGCTTGGTGGGCTGCTGTCTATGGGGTTGCACAGAGTCGGAGATGAGTGAAGTGACTTAGCAGCAGCAGCAGCAGTGTGATCTAGGAATGCGGAGGGGTTACAGGTGAGCACATCCTCTTGGGCCTCCAGATTCCTTGCCCTGTGGGCAGGAGCACTGGCTATTGGAAGGTCAGAGAAGGACCCTTCAAAGTAGGGTCCTCAAGGCATTTCAAACCAAGTGACAAGGCAGGAGGCCCTGGTCACTGGCATCTAAGGGTGATTCTCTGGGTGTGTGCAAAGCTAGAGAGGCTTGGGGGTCCCAAAATCTGATGCAGTCCCACTGTTGGCAGAACTGGGCCTCCAGAGTTCTAGGTATCACTTGAGTGGAGCCCAGCCTATTTGAACTTCTGGAAGCAGCAGCCATGACCCCTCTTATTTGCACATCCCTCTGCTGAAATGAAAAGCTTTAGCACCTGTTTCTGTTTGGCTCTCACTAAAGACCTGTGGGGTCACAGGAAAGGGAGTCTTGCCCCCACTGAACAGACGAGGAAGCTGAGGCTCAGGGAGGTAATGTGATTTGCCACAGGTCACACACCTGTCAGTGGTGGAGATAGGCTTGAGTCCCAGTGGTGGGCTCATGTACAGTACCCCTGCTACCAAACCTATTGCATCTACTGAATTTTAAAATAGTCCTTTTTTCCCCTTTGGATCCTTTTTTTTTTTTTTTTTAATTGTGCTGGGTATTCATTGTGGGATGTGGGCTCAGTATTTGTGGGGTGAGGGCTTAGTTACCCCTCGGCATGTGGGCTCTTAGTTCCCCAATCAGGGACTGAGTCTTTGTCCCCTGCATTGGACGGCAAATTCTTAACCACCGGCCAACTAGGAAAGTCCCTGGAATAGATCTTAAGTGTCTGTTTATTTCACTCACACCTATAACTGTATGAGAACTCTTAATGATGGCAGTTGATGCTGCGTCCAGGCTTTTGCTGTTAAGAACAGCATGGCAGTGAATTTCTTTGTACTGTCAATGCAGCACTTGAGGTCTGGGGTAACATCCCACCACTGTTCTGCTGTGGACAAAGTTGTTAAGGCTAACTTTCCCCTTTGATATACCAGGGGGTAATAATGCCATCTGTGTGAGATGTTGAATAAGTAAATGAATGGATGATGAAAATGATGGCAATAATGAAGATGAGGGTGGCAATGATGATGATGGTGACATCTGGTCTACCTGACAGTTATATTCCTTGTTGGGTGTTTTGGTTTACACACCAGGTGAGTTTTATTGGTCTGAGGCAGCATCTCTGTACCTAATATATCCTGGGGCTCCCAACAAGACTTAACCAGTTTAAGTTCAGAATTGAGGCTCCGATGAGTTCACCTAGGTCCTGCACTCTATCTACCTTTGCTCTCTATCACTTTAAATATCACCTCTATGATGACTGCCAGATATATATTTCTAGTTTATACCCTTTCCACTGAGTTCCAGAAACATCCATCCATCCTGTTGACTCAGTCTTCAAAAAAATGCCCAAATTTTCACCATTTCCCCTACTTTAGTTCACAATGTCATCATCTCTATTGCTCTTTTCCAACTTCTTTATTGAAGACTTAAGCTTGTTTGCATTAACTCTCTCTAGTTTTATGATAAATACTTTTAAAACTATATATTTTCCTCCAGGTATTGCTTTAGCCTATTGTCCCAAATTTTGGCAGTAGTACTTAGTTGCTTAGATATTATACTTACTTTGTTATTTCATAGATTACTTTGTAGTATACATTTAGTTTTCCTGTTCATTTCTTCCTTCTAGAATGCAAGCTCCACGAGGACAGCATCTTTGCCTAGTTTATTCACTACTATATTGTCTGAACAGTGCTTGACACATAGGTGGAGCTCAATAATTTATGGAGAATTCGTGAATCACTGAGGCAACTAGATGCTAGACCAGTGCTTGTAGTAGTGTTAGTCACTCAGTCATGTCTGACTCTTTGTGACCCCATGGACCCCACCAGGCTCCTCTGTCCATGGAGATTCTCCAGGCAATAATACTGGAGCAGGTTGCCATTCCCTTCTCCAGAGGATCTTCCTGACCCAGGGATTGAACCTGGGTTTCCCGCATTGCAGGCAGATTCTTTACCATCTGAGTCACAGCACTAGCCAACAGAAATAGAATTAAAGCTGCAAATGTGAGCTGCATATATAATTTAGAAATTTCTAGTAGCCACATTTCAAAAGTAAAAAGGAACAGGTGTCATTAATTTTAATAATATATTTCATTTAATGACTATATTAAAATATTATTTCAACATGCAAATGATAAAAAATTATTAATATGATATTTCACAGTTCTTTTCCATATCAACTCTTGGAAATTGGAAATGTACTCTATATTTACAGCACATCTCAAATTCCAATTGGCTAATTTTCAGGTGTTAGTGGCCACATGTGGGTATTCTTGTTGGACAACACAGTTCTGGAAAAGGAAGGAGGTGTTTCACTGCCCAGAAGAGGCTTTTCTCCCACAGGCCATTTTTGTTGCAGGAAGGAATTCTGAATCAATGATAAATCTTGGATTTAAAACTAAACATCTGTGATAGAATATCAGCGTTTTGAGATCCTCAGTGAAACAGTGGATGTAGGTCGTGATGGTCAGTGGTTGATGACATCACAAGAAGGGAGACCAGTTGGTATCACCAGCCCTTGCTAGGACACGGCAGCCCCTCCAAAGTAGACTTGGCCAAAGATCAAAAAGGAATCTGAACAAGCCTCTAGATTCAACCCCAAGTGACAGAATTTACAACTCAGAAATTCAAGAAACGTGAAATGATACC